TTCTTTCTTTCTTTCTTTCTTTCTTTCTTTCTTTCTTTCTTTCTTTCCTTCATCTCTAATAACCTATAGAACTCTATGAGATCTAAGATAGAGGTCCCAATAAACAACAGAGAACACAGAAGGTAAGCTCCAGCAGCTCTTTCAAAGACTCAAGTTCACTTTAATAGCTCAAATACTCACATCCAAAAGGCATTTCATTTTATCCTAGTTATTAGTTATTCAACCATTGACAAATGTCTTCAATCAGAGAGTGTCAGAGCTACCAGGGCCTTAAAGAATAGAGGATTCATATTCTAGTCCACCTCCTTTGTTACACAGAAGAGCACTGGAACTCAGAGGTAACTAGCCTAAAGTCCCACAACTAATAAGTGACAGGGCCAGGATTAGAGTTTTGGACTCCAAGGTATGGTAAAAAATGCTCTGAACTTAATGTCAAAGAGATATGGATTTAAACACCAACTCTTTATCTTTCTGGGTTCAGGTTCCTCATCTATAAAATTGGGGGAGGGTCAAATTAGATGATCTCCAAGGTCCATTCCAGCTCTAAGTAGATGATTTTGTGAAATTCAACTCAATGCTTTTCCCATTACATCTTGTTTCACCTCACACCCCTCCCCCTTAACTCTTCACAATTTGTGTTGCCCAGTAGTCTGCTATTTCCTGGGACCACAGATTGAATTTCCCAAGACAACAGGTTCCTATTTTTCTCAGATTTTTAAAATTGTGTTTTTTCATAGATGAATTCTGCAATGATTTATATCAATGGCCCTTAGAATGTTTTGTACAAATAATTTGACATTTAAGTAGGTGAATCTTTCCCCTTTTGATCCCTTCCTTTGCCACTCTGAAACAGGAAACTATATCAAATGGCTAAGGAATGACAAAACATATAGTAGATGAAGCTTAATTACTTTTAAGCAAACTGTGAAGACTTAGAAAACAGAGCACATCCCTTACTGGTAAGCATTCCTCAATTTTCCCTTCCAAATCAAATATTAGGGAAGGCTCCTGAACACCTCTTTTTTTATTTTGTTGGGTAAAAAATAGGTCAAGTAATTTAAACCAGTCCGTTGCTATTATAATTCTGACATTGCCATTGTAGTTTCTCTTCTGGGAGGAAAAAAAAAAGAAAAACAGAACAGAGGATAATGGTGGTTCACTAGTTCAGTCATTCGATGTGCTAACTATTGTTCCCAAGGCTGAGGCTTAGCTTTTCCCCAGCATTGGAGCTCTGATTTTGATGATAGTGATACAGTACTGCAATGAATAAATAACATCTCTGAAGCTATGTGTAACACCTCTTTTGTGTTAACAAAACAATACCCTGGGAGAGCATGTGAGAGTGAAGCAAAAGAAAAAAAGAAGCAGCAGAAGAATTTGAAGAAGAGAAGGAAAGAAAAAGAAAGAAAGTAAATAGAAAAAATTGCCAATGGCTTGAGTCCTAAATTCCTTGAATTCTTAATTTTTTTTTTCCCTTGGGGAGATTTTCATTTTTTCTTTTTCTTCTTCTTTTTGTGTGTGTGCAGACAATGTTATCTGCCAGGTTTATTTTAAAGTAAATTTTACTGAATCAATTAGACAGCTATACTCCTGCTCATTAAAGATCCCATGACACTTTTCATAAGAGTACAGCTAGTGGGCTTGGTCAAATTCCAATTTAGGTAATTGCATTCTGCATACCTAAATTCCCCCTTTGAGTCCCATTGAAGGTATTATTATTCAATCCTGCCCTGAAATGAAGATCTTCAGATCTTATTGAGAGGATGCAGAGCAGTTGTCCCAGCTTCACCAAGGTTGGCATTTCAGTTGTCCCTTATTATAAAGCTCCAGCATGGCAGAGTAGTCATGGGAAACACCCTTTCTTGCAGTTGTTCAAAGCATGGCAGCCTTGGTGTCTTTTTCAATAGCATGAGACAAGTCAGAGCTTTTCCAATACATCATCTGTAGTGACCTTTGATGAGGAAAAATGCTCTTTCCTTTCATGAAGGATTTCTCTTCTAGATGCTTCTTAGGTCCCATTTGAAGGGTTTTGGTTCAAATACGTGGCTTCTGCCTCACAATTGAAATCCGACAATGTTAAGGAATAGCAAGGGTCGATCTGTTTCTTTTAGAAGGTGTTTCCTGCTTTTCTGAGCACATTCCACAAGGGGGCGAAAACACCTAATAGATTTCAGCACTGGGAAGTTTACATTTCAAAGCTGGCCACCCATAATAGATTAGTGGATTAATATTTTGCTCTAAAGGATCTGGCCTTTAATGTTGACATCAATTTATATCTATCCCAGGCTTTTACAGTAGTAAAAGTCATGGAGACCATAAACTTCACAATAGATGTCAGCCTTTTTTCTACTCGTGCTCTGCAGCATGCACCCCATAAACAGCACTGATTAGGTAACTGTTCTTAAAAGACCCATCCATAGCTGTAACATCTTTATCAGCCTCAGCAAAGAGGCTGCCACTGGTGTTTTATCAGCCACAAGACAGTGATACCATTTTTATTAATGAGGCCCTATTTTTCTTACATGTGTTTATTATGCTGGGCTGTTGTTTATCATTGATCTCTCCTTGCAAATAAAGTGGACTGTCTATTTATGGACATGGTGGAAATGAACTAAACGTCTCCTATAGCATATTAGAACTTTTTGACAAACAGCCAAAGTACGGAGGTCAAGTTTCCCCATATGCTATAAGCAACTTAGTAGGAAGCAAGACCACAAAAGGTTTTGCAAATGTCTGCCGGTAGCCTGGTAAACTAGGTCACTGTACAGGTTTCATTAATCAGGTTGTTCAAACAAGGAGTTATTTTTCTCTGCTTAAGAGCACTACAGATATCAAACAGAATTCAGCCAATTGTTGACCACAGGATAGTTTTAATGAAAAAAAAAGATTCATTCAAAAGAGAAGTAAAATTAGCATTTTTACCAAGGAGAAATTTTGCTTTTAACCCAGTTCTTGTGTTTGATTTGCCTGCTCTGGCAAGAACAGACACAGGGATCTAATAATAGCCCTTTGCCATCTCTGCATCTATACATGCATGGTACCAGCATTCTCAGGAACAGGAGGAATTCAGTGATAGAGCAGGTGTTGTGACAATTCCCTGGCTTAGTAAATGGTGGGATAGGGGGAGGGGGTAGAGGGAAGGGGATAAGGAATAGAAAAGGAAATTGTTTTTCTACTTTTCTCCATGTAAAAACAATGCTTCCTAAAGCTTTTTTTTTTCTGGCACAAGTGAAAAAGAGCTAGACTACAGAAAAGGATTTGGATATTAATATGCATGCAAATATATTTTCCACTTGAGCCTCTGAAACAAACTTACTGTGAAAATGCTTAGCTTGGGAAGATTTACTGCTGATTGCAGATGTAGTATTGACATGCTGGAGTGAAGGAAAACTTCAGTTTAACTATTTATTAAAGGAGAAAAATCTGGATCAGCAGATACTGATGACTTAAGGGGGGGGCAAAATGGGACTTGCACATTGCAGAATACTCAAAGAAATGGGAAGTGTAGAACTTAGTTTTTAATGAGGAAGCATCAACTACAAGTATAAAAAAATTCAATGGAATGTGAGTCTTAACCATATATACCCAACCTTAGAAATGAAGTTCTTTGACTTTACCATAGAATGTCATGTAATGAATTATGTCCATACCTAGAATTGTAATTTGTTGGAGTTGATACAAATCATAACTTAAATGGGTTTTGATGCTAGACACATTGTAATATAACACTTCACCAACACCTTCCTATTTCCATCCCTATCCCCAAGCAGTCTTAAAAAATTAACTTGGGGATCGAAGAATCTATCCTGTTAAACAGACTAAATCCTACTTTTAAGGTATTACTAGTATGGTCTTCCCTAGCCTTTACCATTTTGTATAAGGTTAAATAAAAAGTCTACATCCTTTCATGAATTTAGGTGTGTTGATTTTATAAACATGAGGAACTCATGGAAACATTAAAGGGAAAACAAAGCAAAATTCTTTTTCCAACCAGCTGTGATTTGAGATAGCAACAATATTACCTTTTCCCCAATTTCTTTTTTACAAGATTAAATCTGCCGCTCATGTAATATGGTTATATTCTTCTTTCATTAACACACCTAAGTAAAATTTCAATTACTTGGAACTCAAGGCATATAACTTTAGAAGAAATACTAAATGGTGAAAAAAAAGGAGGGGGTTAGACTCATTGGGAATGTATGTGTAGCAGTGATAGAATTTAATTACTTTTGAATGAACTTGGTTAAGTGAAAATTTAAGCGTCATTAGCAGAACAAGGTGACCCAAATCAAAAAATGGATTTTCTTTCTTTTTTTTTTTTGCCAAGGATTACAAACTAGTCTGCAGCCCTTTCTGAAATGAGGCTAGAAGCTATGTAACCCTCTATTTTTATGGAGGAAGCCTAGTTATGTCACAGAAATGTATTTATGTTCTATCTTTATGTTATACATTTCTCTATACATCATCTCAAAGTCTTATTGATCAAACACCCAGGTAAAGAGTTTAAAAATAAATATAAAAAGAGAAACCAAATTTAGGTGTAAACGAAAGTCTAAGGTTAACATTTAATAAATCACACAGGCTTAATTCTGGGTTACCTTTGAATGTGTTGGCAAATGGAAAAAAAAAGTTGCTCTGACAACTTTGCAGCTTGGGATTAACCCACACTAATGTTCCAATGATAACAATGTGGTGTGATGCCAGTTCTGGTTAAATCCTGCACCCTCCCTTTCCCCCCTCCCTCTCCCTTAAGCTCACCATGACCTGCATTGGTGCCGAGTAATTTCTCCTTTGGAATGTTTGTTCTCATCAACAGCTTATTGTTAAAGTGGTCCACTGGGGAGGGGTGGGGGGGGGAGAGGAGGGGGAGTGGGAGGAAGAAAGACCAACCAAAAAGTCCAAATGAAAAACATCCCCACCCTTTATAAATGACTTCTAGAAAAACTGAAATATTTCTTAACTTTTTATTGACATTGGCAAATTAAAATAGAATAAATTAACAAGTATTTTTTCAAAAAAATGTTTTGTACAAAAATACTGTCAAAATTTCCTAAAAAGCTTTCAACACAGTAGTATCTTTTTCATGTACTGAATAAACTATTAGCACAGTGTCAAAAATGTTGAAGACAGAAACAAAATAAAAATCTGTGAAATGTTGCCACTGACTACATTCCACACCATATTATTGTCTGTACATATGGGGGAGGGGGATGGGTAGCAGACTTTAAAGTAACAGTATTACTTTTCCTGATCCAGAATGGTTTGGCCCACATCTGTTTAAACTTCCAGTTTCGCATATTTTTAAAATTAGTCTGTACTCCAATGCATAGTTAAAAATGAAGCGAGATGGCAGCGTTTGTGCAGTAATATCTGCCCTTCAAAGTTCATGCAACCAACTAATGCAATTTTTCCTTCCACTCATAATTTGAATGCAGTTCAGTCATTTGAAACCATCTACAAAATCCACAAGATTAAGCAGTTTGCCAAGATTAATATCTAACAGTTGAGCACTGTAGAAATTAAGTGAGGAAATAAGGAGTAAAAACAACAGAAAAGACCGAGTTAGCTAGATATTACAACTACATAAGGGAGGTGAATGTCAAGGCTACAAAAAACAAAACAGAAAAACAAAAAAACAAAAAAGTGGCAGCAATTTTCTTTTAAACCAATTTGTACAAGTTTTATAGTTTACTCTGTTTTCCAAGTTCTCAAACCGTTCAAGACCTGAAAAGCGAGATACTGTGTCTACGGGAATGTTTTTAATTCACACCGAAAAAGTCGGATCTGTTTCTTTTGTTATTGTGGTTGTTGTTGTGGTTGTCGTTGTCGTTGTTGTTTAAATTAAGTCAGCAGCTCACTCTGCTTGGCTGCTGTTTGCACACGAAGTCCGTCATAAAATCAAACTCGTTTTGTCCCAGCCAGAGTTCAGGCAGCTCCTTGATGCGGTCCAAACCCATTTCTATCACTAAGGACATGAGCACTTCCTCGTCTATGAAGTCAGTGTCTATGACATTGGGAGGCAGCATCGCAGCAGGGACGTGGGGAACCGAGGACGGCATGTTGCTGCTGCTGTTGCTGCTGCTACCGCCGCTGTTGCCGCTGCTATTGCTGTGCTTTGGGTTGCAATCTCTGAAATGCTGGTTCGTCCCGTTCATCTGGTGGCTTGCAGGGTGCAAATCCGGCATATAGTGGTTGTGGGGATAAGGGTGATGATTGAAATACTGGTTGTTTAGCTTCTGCAGCTGCATGCTGGCCGGTAAGGAGCCTCCCTGGCTGGCGACTGGTGGCCCCATAAACTGGGAGTTGTTAAATCTGGCCGTGGGGGGCATAGTGCTGGGGGGGTGCCCTCCATTCACAGTCCCTGGCCCCATCGCATGTCTGATCCCGCTAGTGGCATTCATATTCCCAGCGCCATAGTGTATATGCTCGCCCATTAAGGCATTGAAGGCGTGTTGTTGTTGCTGCTGGTGGTGGTGATGGGGGCTTGGAAACTGACCCATTCCCATCCGATGAGCAGGGTGGTGATGCAGCCCGTTGGTGCCATCGGGGAAGCGTCCGTGGTTCATGGCCATCATGTGGTCAGCCATTTCCAACCCTGAAAGTTTAAAAAAAAAAAAAAAAAGCAGAGATGTATAAATCCCCACCACACGTGTCTCCAGCTCCAACACCCCACTCTCTTGCCTCTCTGCTTCTGCCACCAAACAGAGCTTGCAGCTGTCCTCAGCACACCGAACCTAAGCGCTGTAAGTCCGCAGAGCAATCGCTTGCCGCCGCCGCCGCCGCCTCTCCTGCCCCATCCGCCCCACTTCCTTACTCCCGCAGACCTGCCACCCAGAAAAGTGCCCGATACTGCAGAAACCGTCCCTTTCGCTGCTGGGAAGCAAGCCCAGTGATGCCCCCCAAACGTCCCCCCAACATGCACCAAACGGGGGAGGAGGGAGGCTAATCCCCCACAAAAACAAAACAAAAAGCAAAAACAGGGCAGTGGGGGGACGAAAGCCGACACCCCAAAAGAGGTTAATAAAGGAAGTCTCCTTGAGCCCCGCCACAAGAACTTTTAGAATGAAATCCACCATATCCATCCTGTTATTTCCCTTGCACAGGCTACCACTCTTGCTGAAGGCAAACCCTGCAAGTTGCAGAAGATTAGCCGGCAACACTTACCTTCTCTGGTCTTTGCTCTTTCTGCTCGGAAGGTTGTTGGTAGAATCTCTCAGTTTAAAAACCGCCCAGCAGCATATAGAGTATTTTCCTTGTTTCTTCCGAGGTCGGTTACGTGATACTATTGCTGTCGTCTTGTTGCTGCTGCTGCGGTTGCTGCTGCTTCGCCTGAAGACCCAAGCCCCTTTCTCTTTTATTTTCCCCCTTCCGTCCCCTTACTCCTCAGCGAAGCTCATCGGCATTTGCCAACAATGAGCTATGTTTCTTACAGCTTTGGCCACAGTTAATATAGGATTTCAGGAAGGGAGGAGCAAAAGCCTCACAGGCAATCAAAACGAAAACCTGGAGTTCAGGCTGGCCCGGCGCAGACTCAACTGGAAGGGATCCAGGTAGTCCAGTCCCCCACTGCAGGGCGGCACGTGTAGGGTTTGCTGCTGGCCAGGGGCCCCGCCTGAGAAACGGTGCGCCCCGGCTGCAAAAGAAAGGGTGCTGCTCTTCTGTTCTCCCCCGCCAGCACTACCCTACCTCAAGCCTCCTTTTGCGCTCGCCCCTCCCGCGCGGAAAATAATGCACCCCGAGACTCCCAGCCCGGGAAACGGACAGCCTGCCCCGGAGAGATAGCAAAGGGAGAGGGCGCACCCAACCCCCCAGAGCCCTAGGAGTGGGGGTGGGGGTCTATAGCTGTTACCCAGACTTAACGACCTATCTCTCTGCTACCTTTCTTAGCCGTTTCTCACCTAGTAGCTCGGGAATGCCACCTACAGGATAAAAGGGGTGAGGGGTTAACTCTGCGCCGCCCCCACCCAGCTTTCCTCCGGGATGTAGCTCTGCAACCTTGCCCCCGTTCTCTCCTCCCTGGTTCTCTCAGCGGCTCGAAGAATGGCTGCGCTCCTCCGAGTGCCTTTGAAAGCGCCTGGTAGAAGAATGCCCACACCCCCAAGGAGCCTTTCCCGGGGCTTGCTTTGTGTTACTGGGGAGCTGTGTACTGGCTAGACCTTTTTTTTTTTTTTTTTTCCTCTTTTCTTTTCCCCCTGTTTGCTTTCAAGGGCAGGGAGGTGGTGGAGTGGGGGAAGGGAGAGAAGGGGAAAAGCAGCAGCTGTTGCAGGTGGACCAACTGCGGCTAGGCAGGCATGTAAACGGGGCTCCGCCAGCCGGACTCCCCTTTCGCACACAACCCGGGAGATCCGATCCGCGCTTTCGGTGTCGCTCTCAGTTCCTCCCGTGGTACGTGTGCTTTTGCTAAGTTTGCGTTTGCTGCTCTTGGTAGCTTTGGCATCCGAGCCGAGGCGTCTCTGCTCTGTAAACAAACTCAGCGATCCTCGTCCCCAGATCCACCTTTTTGCACATACACAGTTTCTTCTGCTGTTGCCCTTGATCCGGGAGGTGGGGGTGTGTGCAAACTTGCACAGCCTCCCTCCAGGCTTTAGCCTGACGGTTTGGGGCTGATTTAGAAGGGAACGGGTTTGTAATTAAGAAATGCAAGGGCTGACGAACGCTGCAGTGGCTCGAAAAGGAAAACAAACAGATAACATGGTAATCGCTTTGTAAATAAAGTAGTTCTGGAGGTGGGCACGTAGCAGCACGTCCCATATCGCGCAGTGCTAATATGCACTGTGCTAGGACTCTTCCTTTTCAGTGAAATTGTTAAGTGAGGCAATATGATAATAATAACCTTGTTCCGCAGAACGCCGCACAACTCGCCTCTTTGCCCATTTGGCTCATTGACATGCAAATAAAACCCCTAATACCAGTAGTACTAGCTGGTCAGATCTTTCTCTCCTTTTTTTCTCACACAAGGAAGCTGACTTGTTCTCAAGCACAATAATTACCCGCCTCTATGCCTTGTATATAGTAAAAATCTTAGCACATTGGATGAGGACTTAAGAGCAGAGTTGTTCCTTTAGAGCTCAATGGCCATTGAAGACTTCCTGCTGTGAATGCGGGGGGGGGGAGGGTTTGTTGTTGTTGTTGTTGTTGTTGTTGTTTTGGTCTTTGCTCGGAAGACTTTTTTTTAAGCCTTTATTTCTTGAGAACTGGAAATACTGATAAATTTCCCTTTTCAGGAATTTGCAAAAAGATAGCTAATTGGAATGTACTTCCACCCATTACCACACGGTCTGCATCCAACAATGTTTCTGAACATTGTTATTGATTCTTTCCATAGCATCTCATCTCTGTGTACGCAAGACTAGAAACACTGGGAAATATTCTTTTTGGATCCTGACCTAGAGAACACATGGCATTACTATATGCAACAGTTTCCCCTGTCCTGTCCACCCTCCCCATTAACCTATGGTTAATGGATGTGCAATTATAGAATCAGAGGCCTAGAATAGACCTCAAGGGATTATTTAGTCCATTTCACAGCTTCCAGGCAGTAGTGTATCTAAAATCAACTCTCCGAAATATTGGCCTCTCCTATTATTAAACATATCCACAAAGATTCTACAGGTCTCTGAATAATATTTCAGTGTCTTGCTGCCCCTTGAAATGTTTCTGAATGTCTAACCTCATTTTTTTCCTGCTGCATTTAAGAAATAAGAGGTAACTGTAATTTAAGTTGAATGCTGTACAGGAAAAAGCAGGGAGATTAGGAGGCAGGGTACCTGGTTTGAATCCCAGATCTGCCACTAGCTACCTCTGTGAACTTGGATGTCTCTTTGGACCTCCATTTTTTTTTTAAATGAAGGGGGTGGACTAGATTCTTCTATTTATGATCTCAAGCAGTGTTATGTAGTACTAAGTTCATGAAAAGATCCTCCAAATAACATCCTCCACAGTAGGTTTTTTTGGGAGGAGGGTAGGGGAGAACTTTAAATTCACAATTAAGTCATATTAAGATTGGTTCCTCTGACATTTAGTATATGGATGAATCCCTTTACTTTTCTGAACCTTTCATAGGATCATAGACTTAGAGTGGAAGGGACCTCAGAACTCCTCAAGTTCAAGGTCCTTATTTTACAGTTGAAGAACCTGAGGCCCAGAAAGGTTGGATGTCGTGCTTGAGGTCACATATCTAGTAAGTGGCAGTAAGGATTCCAATGCAAGTGCTCTGATGCCAAGTCCTCATCTGGAATACCCTCTTTATCTCAGAGGGTTATTGGAAAGAAAGTACTTTATAAATATGTTATGATTATGGATGTTCCCTTGTCCTGTACTTAGTGGAAATGGAGAACAGCTTGTACAAAACAGTATTGTACCACTGCTGTACAATAGCCCATTATTCTCTTATGAAATATAATCAATGAAGGTGAAGATAGCTTATAACACTGGTCAGACACCTTTGATATGAAGGGTAATTCTCTTCTATGCCCCTCAAGGGTCAGAGATACTTCATACTTAATACTTCATACTTAATTTATATTTGAATTGGTAGTTAAGGGACAGAATTTGGAATGTTCCCCTTCCTTGAGGTCTGGTAGAAGAAAAAGAAGAGATTCCATCCCCCTCTTTTTCCTCTCCTAACCTTGGAACTGGGTCTGAGTTGGCAGGAAGTGGGGAGTGAAAGATGTTACTGTGTTCTTCCTGGGCCACTTGGCATTCTTAACTGGGCAGGATCCCAACATTGGGCCAACAGTTCCTGATATTTGCTTTAGACCAGAAGTTTTTTAGTAATGGACCACATGATCAGAAATACATGCGTGTGCAGGCCACATGGATTTAATTATAGAATTAATTACATTTGACTCCAATTACAATTACTAATTGATCCAACCCTTTTAGCATGACACCTGGTGGCAGTCATTTAAACAATGGTTGCAGGAGGCAGGTGGTTAGACCCTACTGGCCTATTAGTTGGTATGGGCTAGCTAATAAGGTAAAAAAAACATTTATTGCTAAAAATTTCATTTGTGGTCAGGTGGCCTACACTGGGGTCTAAAGTACCAAACAAGCTAGGTGGCACCGTGGATAGAGCTCCAGCCTTGGAATCAGAAGGACCTGAGTTCATAATCCGGCCTTAGACACTGGACACTGACTAGCTGTGTGACCCTGAACAAGTCACTTAATTCCGATTGCCTCACTAAAAAAAAAAAAAAAAAAAGTAAAAAGTAAAGTACCAAACACTGTAAGCTCAGAGGTTACCTTATTAGGCATTATTTACAAAGTATAGAGATGCTTAGTATAGCATAAATTTGGGAGAAATATGCCCCTTGTATTTATTTCCTCCTCTTGGAATGACTTGCCTCTTCATGGTCCAGTCCCTTGTCCACCTGTGGAAATCTTACCGAGTCTTCAAGCTCAAGCTGAAGTGCCACACTCCTCTGCTAAGCCTCATCTCAAATACTGCTTTTGGGATCTGAAGCCCTGAGTTTTAATTCCTGCTCTGCTATTTTTGCTGCCCATGTGACCTTAGCAATGTCACTTCATTTTCCTTGGCCTGTTTCCTCAGCTTCAAAATTAGCAAAGTCCTTTGCAGTTCAGCATCCTATGATCCTGTTAGCTCCCCACTCCCTAGTCAGAAATAAGCTCTCCCTACTCTGTGCTTCCAACACTTTGTTTCTATCTCTCCTCTAGCGTTTAATGTTTAATTGCTTCAAGGTATCATAACACATTAGGGGAAAAAAAGGGGGCAGAGTTCAAATCTGCACTTAAACACTTGTTAGCTGTTTGACCATAGACCAATCACTTACTCTTCCTGAGCCTCAGTTTCCTCACCTGTAAAATGGGGATAGTTAATTCCCAGAGTACCTACCTCACAGGGCTGTTGTGAGCCTTAAATAAGATCATATTAATAAAATGCTTTGTAGACTCAATTCACAGCTGGAAAGGACCTTAGGGTTTATTTAATCAAACAACTCCCTCATTTTACAGATGACTAAAACAGGCCAAGGGAAGTTAAGAGACTTGTCCAGGGTCACACAAACAGTTAAAAACAGATCAGAACACATATCCTCTGGCCACAAAATCCCAGCAGTCTTTAGCTGAACCTCAGTGTTATGTAAATGTCGGCTGTTATTTGTTATTTGTGTTTGTCATTTCCCCCCAACTAGACTGAAAGTACCTTGAAATACTTGTTTCTTGCTCTCTTTCCTGCCCCACTCCAGCCACACAGATGTTACTGGGACCATCCCCTCCCTCCATGATGAAAATTGGAACTTTGCCCCTAGGTCCCTTGGTTCTGATAGGCAAGTTTTTGCCTTATCTGGTAAGGAACCCAGGCCTGTACACCACTTCCTGCCTCATTTGCAGGTCCAACCTCTCCCCTTCCCTCTCTCCTCTCAGCTCTCCTTTGTGTTGACTTCCCTTATTAAAATGTAAGCTTCT